TCTAAATCTCTGAGTTCGAAATACTCGTTTTAATCCTGTTTTTATATTTTGTAAAATTAAATTTCTAACTAGAAAAAAAAATACCTCTCCAAATCAGACCAGTTTTAACAAAGTTGCAGACTACTGAATTTTATACCTTGATTATAAAGGTACTTTTTTTGCAGACATCCGCAAATGGTTCTTGCGCCCGTTTACATTGTTTTAATTCATCAATGAAACGTATTTGTATATTATCGGTTCTTAAGGAAAATTGATCTAAGCCAATTTAAAAAAAAAAAAAATATTTGAAGTTGTTTAAATTTGTCTAAAAACGGTATGAAAGTCGTTAAAGTGGATAAAGCAAATTTTTTTACTTATGAATATACGTATTCACAGTGAAATAAGAAATAAATTCTTTGTTTTAATTTTCGTACCTGTAGTGAATTCCTTAGGAAAATTTCGGATTTGCAGTTTTCAGCAGAACTTTACATTTCGGAGCTCCCTAGTTCGAAATACCCATTTTCAGCCATTGGTCTGTCTGTCTGTGCCAAGATTATCTCAAGGAACGAGAACGTACATTTTATTGCTTCTTTCTTTTGTTTTATAGGGTATTATATACCGATGTGGATGAAATAAACAAAAGGACACTACAAAAAGACATGTTTTCCCTTATAGTGTAGCGTTCTAACGAATATAATGAAACTTTCTCATAATCTTGTACTTAAAAGTTCTTTCAATTTTCGTACATGTAATAAATTCTTGAGAAAATTTCTAATTTTCTGTTTTCAACGGATCTTTACGTTTAAGAGCCTCTGATTTCAAGATACCAATTTTAGCACATTTTTTTGGAATGTTATTAAACTTTTATTATGAATTCAGAGCTTATAAGATGTTAGATTAGCCAACAATTAGTAGGAAAGATAAATGAAAGCAGATCCAGTAAAAATATATTAAAAAATATATATAGTAAAAAATTATTGATTAGAAGAAACAATTACTTTAAACCTCTAAATATACGTTTCTTCATCTCCTAATACACCAAAAAAAAAAGAAGTATTTTTTCGATCTTGAACAGTTAATTATACAGAGCGTCCCGTATGTAGAGATAAATAGTTAAATGAGTTATAGTAGACATCAAGAACTACAAAAAAGTTCATATAAACTATGGCCAAATTTTCAGCAGAAGTAAGAAATTTTGTGTTTTTTTATTTTTATGGTAAGTCACATTTTTGATTTTTGAACAGGAGCGATAAATGAAATAAATAATTAATTTAAGTTACCAATTGCTTCACATTAAACAAGACAAAATATACTTCAAATGGAAATAGAGTTTGCTATTGTTAAAACCACGCAATGACGACTTTTGATCGGCTATACTAAACTAAGTTCTGTTTAAAAAAAAAAGTTATAAATTATTCGCGATGTTTTTTCATCATCCTCCAACTATACTTTGTGTAACCCACTTAAAAAAAAACATCCTTGTATAGTAAGCTTTAAATCGATATAAATTATTTTTTTTGTTCTTTTTTATTTATTTATTTATTTTTTATTATATACATTATAATATGTTATACTGATAAGCTACATGTTTATGGTTGCATTAACCTTACACATGACATAATAGTGGTTTGAATACTACTTAGAAAATTGAAATTAATTTTTTACAGTAGGAAAAATCTTATAAAAAACCTACATAAGATATAAATGAAAAAACTAGGTTACAATCATTAAAAGTACAAGAAAAACTAAATATAATTTATGTGCGAAAGGAAACTATATATATATATATATATATATATATATATATATATATATATTTACACATACAATACTTACTCACACAACACACACACACACACATGTATATATATATATATATATATATATATATATATATATATATATATATATATATATATATAGATATATATACATACACATACACACACACACATAAGTTGAGGTTTATTAGGCAAAAACTTGAGGTGAATCTTATATTTTATCCTGTCACCTAAAAGTACTCGTGTTTTCAGAAAAATGATTTCAATTAATTGTTGCAAAACTTTTATTTCATGTATTTCTATGATCTTGAATGCATCATAATAAGTGCAATTGCCTAAATACACGCTTTATTTATAATTTTTTTTAAATAATAATTTTTCAAATAGTTTTCTGATAATATGTTTATGAAACTTTTCACCCAGACTTTATCATACAAATTGGTCTGTATTTAAAAGTAACGAAATAAATGTTTATAGTCCTAAACTTTACGTTTAAAATAAATTAACCTGTTGATTTTTTAATTTATTTTCATGAAAACGTAAATTTTTGGACGAGAATCGTTTAATTTTTAACTTATAAATACAGATGTTTAGTCCTGAAATTTTTAAAATTTTAAAGCGATTATTATATATATATATATTCAGAAAGTTGTTCTCTAACTTTGAAAACATATTTCTCTTTTCATTTCTAAACTTATTATGTTTTCAGACATTTTTTTTACTTTCCTGCCGCTACTAGATAAAGAAACTATTTCAATCGCATCTAATTTCCGATGTTTGGGTTTCAAGGATCTTTACGAATTCGAAAAACGCGTAAGATCTTTATCATACAAATTGGTTTATATTTACAATTAAAGAAATAAATTTTTATATTTCTAAACTTTACGTTTGAACTAAACTATTAAAATAAACCTTACTTCACCTATTTTCACGAAAACGTAAATTTTTGGACTAAAAACATTTATTGTTCACTTGTAAATACAGATGTATAGTACTGCAAATTTTAAAGTGATTATTAAGATTTTATGGTAATTTGACAATTCAGGTAGTTTAGACAAGATAAACGGATGAAACTAGTACTTTTAAAAATATACGCTTCTATATTTTCTGTAAAGTCCAACGATATTTTATATATATATATATATATATATATATATATATATATATATATATATATATATATATATTTATATTCACAAAGTGGTTCTCTATCTCTGAAAACATATTTCTCTTTTTTTTCTGTTACTGTTTTACATTCCTACCACTACTAGATAAAGAAACTAAAGTAATTGCATCTAATTTCCGATGTGTGGTTTTCAAACCATCTTTACGATTCCGAAAAACGTGCGATAAGAATGTCGTTTAAGTGTACTCATCAGATTTTTCTATGTACGAATATACCATTCACTTAGTACTTAGAAAATATTTTTTTTTTCAAATAATTTTCGCACCTGTAGTAAATTACCCAGAAAAATTCCGGATTTGCGGTTTTCAACAGATCTTTTTGAATCCCCTCTCCCCCCCCCTCGAATTCGAAATAACCATTTTCAACTATTGGTCTGACTGTCTGTGCCAAGATTATCTCGAAATGAGAAGATCCATTTTATTTCTTCTTTTTTGTTTTATAGTGAATTTACTACCGCTGGTTATTAAATAAACAAAAAAAGGCATCGCAATAAAACATGTATTTTCATATACTATGCTACACTATAGTGTAGCATAAAAACCACTCTTAAGATATTGACAAAACTTTACTATAATCTTTAAAGTCCTTTAAATTTTCGTACATCTATTGAATTCTTCAACGGATCTTTACGTTTGTGAGCCTCTGAATTCAAAATGCCCATTTTAAACACATTTTTTAAATTAAATTTCTTCATAAAAAAATCCTACAAATCAGACCAGTTTTAGCAAAGCTAGTGTATTGAATTTCATACTTTGATTATAAAAATACCTATTTTGTTTTCTTTTCTGCACATCCATAGAATGTTCGCGTGTCCTTATACATTATTTTAATACGTCAATGAAATTGTATTTTCTGAGATTGTTTCTTCAGGAAAATTAATCAAATTCTACTTTTTTCATATAGTGTAGCGTAAAAACCACTCTTAAGATATTGATAAAACTTTACTATAATCTTTAAAGTCCTTTAAATTTTCGTACATCTATTGAATTCTTGAGAAAATTTCCGATTTGCTATTTTCAACGGATCTTTACGGTTAAGAGCCCTTGAATTCAAAATGCCCATTTATAACATTTTTATTTTTTTTTTAATTTACTAAAAGAAATCCTACAAATCAGACCAGTTTTAGCAAAATTAGTGTATTGAATTTTATACTTTGATTAATAAAAATACCTTTTTCGTTTTATTTTCTGCACATTAATGGAATGTTTGCGTGTCCTTAAACATTGTTTTAATTCATCAATGAAATTGTATTTTCTGTAATTGTTTCTTCAGGAAAATTAATCAAATTCTACTTTTTTCATATAGTGTAGCGTAAAAACCACTCTTAAGATATTGATAAAACTTTACTATAATCTTTAACATAAAGTCCTTTAAATTTTCGTACATCTATTGAATTCTTGAGAAAATTTCCGATTTGCTATTTTCAACGGATCTTTACGTTTGTGAGTCCCTGATTTCAAAATACCTTTTTTTCATATTTTTATTTTTATTAAATTTCCTTTTAAAAAATCTAACAAATCAGACCAGTTTTAGCAAAATTAGTGTATTGAATTTCATACTTTGATTTAAAAATACCTTTTTTGTTTTATTTTCTGTAAATTCATAGAATGTTCGCGTGTCCTTATACATTGTTTTAATTCATGTTCATGTTTTATTATTTTGTTTCTATTTATTATTTTGTTTCTGTTTATTTTATTTTATTTTTTGTACATATAGTGTGAATGCCATCCTACCTCACTATAACCAATGTCCAAGAGACAGATTGTTGTAATACTCAATAAAGAAATCAAAAAAAAAATCATCAAAGATATCGTATTTTTTGTGATCGTTTCTTAAGGAAAATTAATCAAATTTAATTTTTTTTTATAATTAAAGTTGTTTAAATTTTTCTAAAAGTCGTGTAAGTGGATACACAAGATTTTTTTATGTGCGAATATATTCTTAACGGTGAACTAAGAAATAAATTCTTGCTAGCCAGTGTTTATTGAATTATTTTAATTTAATTTCCAATTATTATAAAATATATATATAATAATAAATGAAATATTACTGACTTGATATTTCGCGAGATACGAAGAGTTGATGTACACTCACCAGATCCAAGAAGACACTACTTCAACAACAACCGGGCGACAACTGAGCTCTCTCAGTCCCCCTCTTGTCCCCAAACCTTTTGACGAGTTGACGCTTCTGGTTTTTTTTGTTGGTTTTTTTTTCTTACAACTCATATCGACAGCTGTATTTACAATTAATTTAGAATGAAAAACCATCTTTTTTTTTTTACAATATTCTATTACCTGATATTTTATTTAAAGTGATAGTGATTTTAAATTAATAAAATACAGGTTAACACGCAAAATTCGCACAGCATATTATTAAGTGATCAAATGACGAATTAATAATAAAATAAAATAAAGCCAAGTATCATAAGATAAATAAATCAATTGTTACCTTCTCGATTAATATAATCGGCAAAGGAAACAAAAATTAAGAGAAGGATAAAAAAATAAAAATGGCAAAAAATAAATAATAATATTTATTTTAACATTTGCCGACGTTCCGAACCGAAGTTCAGGGCTGAGAAAAGAACCAGATAACATTAGTATGAGAAAGATAAACAATGTAGGTAAAAAAAAACTTAAAGTAAAATGAAGTAGATAAGTGAACATTAAAGTAAAATAAAGTAGTTGTGGGTAAAATGGTTGACTGTCGTGAATAATGAAGAGAAGAACAGTCAAATAAGAAGGCAAAAATAAATGATAATATTGATTTTGACATTTGCCGAAGTTTCTAACTACTTTATTCTATTCTACTCTATCTAACTACTCTATTCGCAATGTCTTAATTTTACTATTTATTTTCATATCTATTTTATCTTTTTTTCTGTTTCATTTTATTCTAAGATTCCCATTTTAATACTTATGTCACCTTTTTTGATCATGTTTACTTCATCATTCCACACTTTGTAACGGTTATTATTATTTATCTCTTAGCTCTTACTATTGTCATTATTCTAACAATTTCATTTTACTTTAATTTTTTTTTTTTTTTTACCTCATACCTTGTTATTTGGTTCTTTTCTTAGCCCTGATGAAGGCCTGAACTTCAGATCGAAACGTCGGCAAATGTCAAATATTAAATATTATCATCTATTTTTGATTTCTTATTTGACTGATCACCCCAAATATTCTTCTCTTCATTAAAATAAAGTAGATAGAATAATGACAATAACAAGAACTCAGAAATAAATAATAATAATCGTTACAAAGTGTGAAATAACGAAGTAAACATAATCAAAATAATATAAGTACTAAACTGGTAATCTTAGAATAAAATGTAAAACAGAGAAAGAAATATGAAGTTATTTAAGAAATAAATATAAATAGTTGAGATATTGTAAATAGAATTTCGGGTCGAAACGTAGGCAAATTTTAAAATAAATATTATTATTTATTTTTTGACATTTTTATTTTTGACTGACCACCCCAACTATCCTTCTCTTCAATTATTCACTACAGTCAACCATCAAACCACAATTATGAAACAAAAATTAATTTTAAACTTCATTAATGTTTGGAATCATGTTTACAAATTGCAATAAGCTGTATTTTTTCTGAAAATTATTCGATTTCGATAATTTTTTTTTCCTTTTGTAGGGAATTTAGTAATCTAGTAATGAACATAACGAGAAAAGTGTGTATTTTTTGAGTTATTTGCAAATAAAGTTTATTTTTTTTCCATAACTTTTTGCCTGAATTTTCGGGGTGATTGGACTATTTTGCCCGCCTATAGGAGAAGGAAGCCTTCAACATTTGTGGCTCAATCTTGGGATTTGGTGAAGAATTGATGATGATGTGGCTTACGGAAAAAAAAAACTCCTTTGATAAATAATTTAAAGTCTTTTCTCGACCATAGAGGCCTGAAGTCGACGAAATGAGACCTATATTAAATGACACTACTACAATTAATGTAAGGTTGTATGAATGCGAACATTATGCCTTGCGTTATCTCGAAAATAGTACGTTTTCGGGCTTAATAACGCAGGGTCCCCCAAAATCTTCAAAACCCAATTGGCTCTATATCGATCAACAGAGTTACCACCGTTCCAGTATTAAAGCAAAATGTTTGTATCAACTTTATTTATTTTAGAAAGAAAAACAAAAGCGGAGAATGCGATTCGCTAACCCTCCGTAAAATTCTTATTCCAGCGGTACCCTATTCATGGTATTTGAGCATGACAGAAACTTATATTTGGTACGAGTTCGATCCTTACAGTAATAATATATGTGGGGATAAATACGAATAATTTGCATAGTAGTCCGTAGTACAATGCTCTTTTTATCAAAATATTAACCTACGTCTGAAACTTCGTGAATAACTTCATTTCATCGTAACCTACAACTATTTTATTTATTAAAATTCACGAAATTTGGGAATTTCCAATCTGGAGATCGGCAAACTTTGTCTATTTAATTAGGAACTAAACACTCGTAAATGACCATTTGCTTTGCACTTGGATGGTAAGATAATTTAGACCATAAAATCGAGAAAAATGTGGTCTACGAAAATATTGGGCCGTTTGGCCTACATATCCTTGTTATTTTGACATTTTGCGGGTGTAGGTCACACCTTTTTGAAGGTCACTTTTTTCCTAGATTTTGTGATCAAATTATCTTAACTTCACTTCCTCTTTAATTTCTTTCTTTCTTGTTTCCGTAGTTCCATAGACCCTAACCTCTCTACACGTTCAAATGTATTTCCTCCAGTATCTACAACACTGAAATTTTCGCTATTTTATTTGCTAATCATATACTTTGTCTTATCCCTATTTATTTCGGAGAGGGGGAGGGGGATAATCTCGGCCGACTTTCATCAAAGTTTTAGTTTTATTGTTTTCGTTTCTTCGCTAAACAGTACCAATTCATCAGCAAATCCCGAGCATAGATATTGTTCCACCCAGCTTCAAACATATTTCGTTATATAACACATGTTTAATGGCATGTTCTAATGCCAAATTAAATAGAACAGGTAAAAGGGAATCACCTTGTTTCATGCCCGAAACAACCTCAAATTTCTCGGATAAATAATAAGTGATTCTAACTGTATTGAATGTTTCGGACATACACATGTTAACTATATTCACTAGTTTTTTTTTTGGATCCCTTGCTCAATTAGAATATCATACAACTTCTGGCAGTCAATAGAATATTTAATTGTTTTCCAATATTTGCCGTAAAAAAAAATTTCATTAATAGTCAAACGGTTCCGTTTAAAGCCGTATTGGTAGTCTCCGATAATTTCCTCGGCATTTACCGTGATTTGACTTGTTGAGATTACTGCAAATATTTAATAACAGGGAGTGAAATTCCTCGATAGTTATTACAATCTTTCCTCGGGCCCTTTTTTTGAATCAAAATAAGAATAGAGTCTTTTCATTCTTTATGCTATATCTAATGCTCCCAGATCTTTTGAACCGAAAAATGTATTTTAAAAACTCTAGATATCACAAACCTTGAAGAATGGTGTAAACACTGGGGAATTAAAATAAATTCCATCAAATTACCTTTACCCTGCGTCGCAAACCGCTCCTGTGCTACAGTATCTTTTAACAATTCCCGACTCATCCCTAATGAACAAATCCGTTACCTAGGACTCCACCTGGACAAACGATTCACATGGAATCCTCATACAAGACTGAAACGACAAGAAACTGCTCGACCTTTTCGACTATTCAAGCACTTACTAGACAAACGCTCTAAACTTTCTATATATTACAAAAGACTAATATACATGACAATAATAAGGCCTATTTGGACGGAGTTGAGTTATGGGGCTCCACTAAACCATGGAATTCCTCTCGTATCCAATCCTTACAATCCAAAATCCTTCGTAAAATCCTCAAAGCTCCTTACTTTGTCACAAATGAAATCTTCGATTTGTCCATAAAACCTTAATGTTCCATATGTTTCCGATTTGGCCCAATCCAGATACCTATGCTTCCATACCATCCCAACCCTCTTGTCTCTAACCTTGCTTCCTCCTCGATTCCTGATAACCCTCCGAGGCGTCTGAAAAAAATATGGCCTCGTGATCTAGTTATGTAAATATATTATTAGAGTGCTACCAATAGGTATTTTCTCAACAAGCGTTTTCATGTGATTGTATTTTACTGTGTGCACATTTACTAGTTGTATTTTTTTAAAATACAGTTGTATCAATGAAAAAAAACTCCAGCTTCTCCGCATGCCTTAATTATTTCACTAGGAATATTATCTGTCCCCGCTGTTTTATAAAAATTTAAATTTTCCAACAGCCATTTTAACTTCCTCTTTACTCGGTTCTTGTGTTAACGGATCGGCACTCTGGTGCTCAGAAATATGATCCAGATCATTATTTCTCGTATTTGAAAGATGATCAAAGTGTTTCTTAAAGTTGCTTATTATCAGTAATTTTACTGCCATGCCTAAAATATAGGTTTTTCCGCTTGAAAATAGGGAGTTGTTTGTCATCAAACAAATAAGAGCTGGAGTACCTCAGGGCAGTGTCTTGGGTTCTACACTTTTTAACATTTATTGCTCATACATCCCCCAATACGCAGAAACACTGCTGATGACTTGGCAATACTAAATTCTAATAAAGATGCAGCTAAGGTACTTAAAGCACACTTAGATGACACAGCTTTTTGGGCTAAAAGATGGAGGATAATAATAAACGAGTCCAAGAGCAAATTCGTTTCATTAACACTTCCATATGACTCTTGTTCTTAAATTATTCTTTAATAATATCGCTATTGCCACTATCAAAAACTGTACGATATTCGGGTCTCTACTTGGACAAACGACTGACATGCGCATACCACAAAAAAGAAAGGAACTTAATCGGCGACACGGACTTGTTTCTAGGCTACTTGACAGACGTTCTAAATTATCTGTGACTAATAAATTAACTTTTTACAAAGTTCTCATTAAACCACTTTGGACATATGGTATCGAGCTATGGAGAACAGCAAAGTTTTTTTTTTTTTTATTAACGAAATTTACAGTTGTAATTAATAATAAATACAACAAGTAAATATTAACAAGTAATATGACTTGTACAACATGAGGAGAAACTACCCATTGGTAGCACTCCAATTATATTTCTATATTAGAAGGTCCCGAGGCCATCTTCTTTTCAGACGCCTCGGAGGGTTATCAGGAATAGAAGAGGAAGCAAGGTTGGAAACGAGAGGGTTCG